ATTTTATTTTATTTTTTATTGATTTCAGAGAGGAAGGGAGCGGGAAAGAGAGGTAGAAATATCAATGATGAGAGAGATCATTGATTGGCTGCCTCCTGCACACCCCCCAACTGGGGATCGAGCCCACACCCAGGCATGTGCCCTTGACCACAATCGAACCCAGATCTCTTCAGTCCACAGGCTGATGCGCTATCCACTGAGCCAAATCGGCTAGGGCAATATATTTTTGTTGATATGAGAGACAGAGGAAGGGAGAGGGAGGGAGAGAGAGAAACATCAACGATGAGAGAAACTTTGATCGGCTGCCTCCTGTATGCCCCCTACTGGGGATTGAGCTGGAAACCTGGGCACGTGCCCTGATTGGAAATCGACCTCCTGGTTCATAGATTGATACTCAACCACTGAGCCATGCTGGCTGGGCTGGGTGCTGCTTCTTGGGGACAGCTCAGTCCCTAAGGTGCTCCATGCCGCCCAGGTGTCCTCAGTGGGTGCCCTTGGCCTGCCTCCGTGTGCCGTTCTGCACAGCAGCTGCCGGCCCTCTGGGCACACCTGAGGCACCCTCCTTGGACCTGTCCTCAGCACCCATCCCCAGAAGGTCCTCCACACGGCCTCTGCCTCCTGCCCTCGGGACCTGCAGTGTGGGGAGGGGTGTGAGAAGGCGCAGCCCCAGCTGGGGACAGGCCCCAGCAGAGGACAGCGGGGGGCAGAAGTGCCTGCCCAGAGGGAGGGAGAGCTGGGCACCAGAACACGGCTGCCACACTGGACACGCGGCCACAGCAAAGGAGATGGCTGGAGGAGACCCTCCAGCAGCTTTGGGGTGTCTTGGGGGGAGGATCCGAGTCCCTCCTCCCTCCCACAGCAGCAGGCAGCAATACTCTGGCCTCTTGAGCCTATGTGGGTCCCCCTGGGAGCACCCCTAGAAAGCAAGGACCTTCCTACTGGGATGCAGCTGGATCCAAATGTAAAGGGCATTTGGGTTCCAAATGTTGATGACCTACAATCCCCACTTCCTCACTCAGGGCAGGAGGGCGTCAGGGGCGTGCTGAGCACGTGAACATAACCAGCACAATTCCATCTCCCTCCTTCAGGCCTGGGTTCCGGCAGGCAGTCCCAAGGGGACCCCTGATGCACCTTCTAGGCAGCCAGAAGGACCTCCGTGTGAATCCGGCACCTGCTCCCTCCCCAGCCACTCCTATCCCTTCAGCTGAGCCCACTCCGGCCCTTGCTTCCCTGTCCCTCTGCACCCACCGACCCTCCTCAGCTCGGCTCACGGCTCACAGCTCAGCGAGGCCTCCTCTGGGAAGTGGGCCCCAGTCTCCATGTCCCTTCCCATCACATTTTTGCTGGGTTATGGCCATCCAAACTGGGTGCTGGTCTCACCTGGGCTTGTCCGAGAGGCCCTTTTCACGCTGCCGGCTCCTCCAGTGACTGTCCTGAGCCAGGCCAGGCGCCCTGGGCACACTAGCCCCACGGTATCTTCCCAGAACGTACCTGGGATTATGCTGCTTGCCCATTCGGCTCTCGGTGGCTCTCAGCCCCTCCGAGCTCAGTACCTTCTGCCGCCTCATGCTGTCCTGAGGCCCTTTGTGAGACCACATCCCCCCTCCCAGGCCCCTCTGCTACCCGCTTCCCCCCAAGCCATCTGGACACACACACACACACACACCTCCCAGGCCATCTTGGCGCGCTCCCAAGTTTTTGGACTGAGGTTTCACCTCTGTCACATGAATGTCAACGTGATGGAAGACAAACTTCGCCCACCCTCCTCCCGCCCCGCAGTATGAGCGTGCCGTCTGCTTCCTGGGCATAGGCAGGGTCAGCAGGAAGAAGGGCCGCTTTCTTGTTCTGCTGGAAACTGAGTCAGCCAGCCATGTGCTCTCTGGCCAGCAGGCCCAGGGTTCTGCCCTCGGCCGGCTCTCTGCCCCTCTGCCCACGTACCCTGAGCCAGCGCCCCCCTCTCTCCCCAGTGCACCAGGCCCCCCTGTACCTGTCTCTTGCCACCTTTCGTCAATTTTGCTGCAGAATCAAGCTTTTTATTTTTATTTTTTAAAATTTTATTGATGTCTGAGAGGAAGGGTGAGGGAAAGAGAGAGAGAAACATCAATGATGAGAGAGAATCATGGACTGGCTGCCTCCTGCACGAACCTGCAACCCGGGCATGTGCCCTGACCAGGAATTGAACTGTGACCTCCTGGTTCATAGATCGAAGATCAACTACTGAGCCATGCCGGCCGGGCCAGAATCAAGCTTCTAAGAGTCTCAGAATGTTGCTCCTCTGTTTGGACACGCCCCCTCTCCCCATTGCTTGAACGATGGAGTCCTGCCATCATCACTGAAAATGACATCTAAAAACAAACGCTCTTTAACATCAGACTGCAGTTTAAACACATGTGAAAAGACATCGTCCAAAACCTAACGCACTTTTAGTATCAGTCGGAGAAAAAAAGATTCCTACAGGAAGGAGGAAAGGCAAAGGGACACCCTTGACGCTGCAGCTCTGTTCAGGTCTACTTCGTCTGTTCGTTCCCTGGGCTTCCTGGGGTGGGGGTCGGGGATCATCCCAAGTGGTTTTGATGGGAGGAAAGAGTTTGTCCTGGAAGTAAGTGTAACATATTTCTGTGTTTGCTTCCCGAAGTTCCAGATGCAACCTCAAATGCAGAAATGCCCTAGTAAGTCAAGGTTGCAAACAAAACTCCAAGTCTATATAGTTGAACCTATTGTGTTTGTCATTTGTGCTCTGGGGACTGATCCATTGATTTTTACTTTATAATTTTATGTTTTGGGTTTTTGTTGTTTGTTTTGTTTTTGGCCCCACTAACATCTTTCAACAATTAACTATGGTCAGTAATTCAAAATCACATGGAGAATTTGTGGGCCCAAGAAATGAACCAGGAGTCACTAGGCAAAGTGGGCTTCTAGAACAACCTCGTGTGCTTGGGGTCCCTCCCTCCTGTCCTCTGGGGATCTTTTTATCATCTTTACTTCTGTCTTCTCTGAGTTCTTCCTCACTATCTATAAATATCCCTAAGTTCCTCCCATCTTAAAACAAAACAAAATCCAAGCCCTCCCCCAGCTCTGCATTCCCACCCCGCTCACCGCATCTTTCTGCTCCTCCTCTCTCTCCCCTTCAATCTTTGCCTCCTCAGCAAAGTTTCTCGAAGGCACTGCCTACACAGCCTTCGCTTCCTCCCTACAAGCCGGCTGAGCTAGCTCCGGCCCCAGGACCACCCCGATCCCAGTCCCCACTGTCGGCTGAGGGGGTCCTACTGGTCCAGGCTCTAACCTAGCCTTGCAGCTCACCTGCAGGACCCCACTCCTCCCATTGCAGGCCGGGCAGCGCCCAGTGGACCTCCCCACAGCGACTGTTTTTCAGATCATTCCCGCCTTTATTGTCTTTCAGAAGAGAAGGATAGAAAAGTAAAACAAGTGAAGAATTAATAGAAAGTATCTTCAACTCGGGATTAATTTGTGATATCTGCCTTAGGACAGTCTTTTTCTCTCTCCTTAACCGTATTAAGAAAGATTATCTGCCCTTCCCATGTCACACTAGACTAGGACATAGTCTAACGAGCCACCTGAGTCATTTGGAGAGGAGAGAAACCTTGCATATTGAGCGTTGGTTTGTAGAAGATTGGTAAATAAAAAAAATGATTTTTTTGGGGGGGGGGCCGGGCTGGCATAGATGTAAATGAGTCCCGCCCACTACAAATGAGAACCCCAAAGGTCTGGGTTCATTGGACGGTTTGCATGGAACTTGGCAGCCTCGTTTCAGCGCTTTCCTTCACTGACTGCACACAGCCTGCTTCTGGCCTCCTGCAGAAATAGCGTTCCATCCTGAGTTTAAAGCGTCTTAAAAGTTTCGCCTAAAAAACGGGATCGTGGAGGAAGTTGGCTTTTGCTTAGCGGTCAGGGGAGGGCTGACCCTCAAGCTGCTTTTGCAAAATAAGGGTCATCATGAGATCGTAGAGCGAGTAATAAAACAGGAGAGCCCAGCGCGGCTCCGATGCTTTGCTCAGAGCCGCTCAGGCCCACGCCTTGCCTTCTCCGAGGGGCTCTGCCCG